AGAGTTAGGCAGCAGTGGAGCAGGGGTTTAAGGATCTCGGTGCTGCCTAAATGTTGGATTCAGGCTTATGGCCTGGAAATTAGGGGCCTAAGTCCCTTAGTGGCTCTAGCCTGAGTCACCGCTATAGACTCAGCATGATAAGAACTGTGTAGCTTTTTAGAAATTAAACATCAGCTTATGACCAACAGCCCTGAACTCAAAATATCCTGAATATCAAAATCGCATTACTAGCAGCCCACATCACCCACAAGCAAATGGAGAGGCTGAGAGAGCTCTAAGCAGACAGCCAAGAAAATCCATTCCTTGCCCTTCCGAGTTACAGTCACGACTGCTGGATATAGTCCAGCCCAAATCCTGATGGGAAGACAACTCAGAACTACTGCTCCAGCTTTGGAAAAGAGCCTGTTTCCAAAGTGGCCAGATATGAAGAGAATAGACCGATCAGATACAAAGGCTAAAAGAGCTTATGAACACTTTTAGGATAGACATCACACAGAGAGCTGCGAGGTCTAGAACCTGAGGACCATGTTCATATCAAATTGGGAACAGTGTAATACAGTTTAGCATGGCATGACATCACCGACAGATGGATTGTTCAGTGTGTTTCAGGAGCTGTTATTAGAGTAATAGCATAAAACTAAGAAAAGGAAAATTTAAGCTGATTACCAGGAAAACATTCTTGAGAGTATGGAATTCAACGCTGGCCAACTCTTCCGAGGGAAGCCAGGGGATTACAAAACCATTGGGGAGGACATTTTAAAACTAGACAGAACAAAAGGAACTGTAAAACAAAACCCTTCTCGATGAGGAGGGCCTGGCATGCATCGCCTACATGTAGAGCTTGGTGAACGTTTTCATTTGAAAGGTGTTTTTTTCAATCAATGGGGGCTTTTTTGTCAAAATAAAAATTTCCACAGAAAATACCCACTTATAACAACATTTTTGAATGGTTGTTGTTGAAAACCTGAAAACCAAAACATTTCAGTTGAAAAATCAGGTATTTTTCACTTTTTTGCCACTGTTGGTCCCAAAATTTTGATTTTCAAATTTTTGATGAAAACCTGAAAACCTTTTTGGTGAAGAAGGGGAACCACCCACCAGCACGGAAGGGGTTGAAGAAGCCTTTGGGCCCAACTAACCTCTGCCCATTATGCCTGCAGCCAATGCCAGGCCTATAGGGGAGAGACAAGGAGGGAGCCTGGTTCAGTTCAGGGCTGACTGGTGTAGAGGCAGGAACTACCAGAAGGGACAGAAAGCAAGCCCTGGCTCCACAGCCAAGGGGAGACTGCAAAGGAACCCCCAGAATCAGAGAGAACTGACTGAGTGGATCCCCGAGATACGGTGGGGCTTGCCCTCACTAGTTCGTGGCTGCCCTGCCTGAAGGAGCCTGGGATTGCAGCGAGGTGCTGCCCCAGTCCCAAGAAGGAACCCTACAGGAAGCATGCTGTCTGGAAGATTGGACTAGAGGGGCCATGCCCCAAACTAAACCTACTGGTAGGAAGTAGCCCAGGACAGTGGATTCTGACTCCCTGCTGGGAGGGACACCAACCCCTCTGTTTGGGGGTTGACATGCACAGGACCCCGGGCTGGGACGTGGTGGAGAGGGAGGTCCTGGGTCCTCCTACCCACCCCCAGACTTAAAAATGGAGCTCAGCAGGGGGCCGAGAGTCAGGAGATCTAACCACTAGGCCGCCCAAGCCTCTGTTATACTTTTGAAGACAAATTTCAATGACATTTTTCCCAGGAACAAAACACACATTGCCCAGCCAGCTCTACCTGTAAGGCCTTTCCCAGCTCCTGTTTTGTTGCTGTGAGGTAAAAACACAAAGCTCAATTCTTCCTGAAGGAGAAACCTTCCCGGTGCTTCCTATGCCGTTTGTTTACTAAAACTGCTTGGCTTCCTTTGAGCAGCTGATGTTGTTTTCAGCCAACAGGCCTCTGCATCTACAGACATTCTTAAAAACTACTCTGATTCTTTAGGGGGAACATGGTGCATACTGTTAGCTAGGAATGACCTCCCCAACCATCAGAGCGGGAAGGATCTCAGGTGACCCCTGAGGAGCAAAGGGAGCATTGGGGCTAACCTTCTGTTGCACAAAATGTAGCCTACTAGGTAGAATCTATTAAAAGACTGTTCTGTTTCTTTCTGGACTTGACCTTCATTGCAGGTGGCATTGACCCGCTTCTCCGTGGTATGCTGGTTGTCCGTGCGAAACTAATGAAACAGGATCAAATGGTGGTGGAGGAGCTCCAAGAGCGGCTTTTTGAACAGTTACAAGTAATTGGACTGGATCTACCAGCCTTAAACCTGCAACGTGGAAGAGATCATGGTCTTCCAGGTAAGTAAGCATAAGACTGCATCCCTTTCTGCTTTGTTTGCAGTCACTTCCACAATGTGATTTTTCCAGACAGCCAAGGAAGGACAGCCCCTGCCCTAGGGACAGACAGATGTCAAGGAGGAAAAACAATTCTGTATTGATTATCAACATTCACCAAAAGGCTTTTAAGCGGGATTTAAATATGGATAGTGTGGGGCCTTTTGGACGAGCATGGGGAGTCCAGGCATGGGGAGGAGGGATGTGGGGGAGGAGGCTGGAGGTGATTGGCTGTCAGAGAGCATGATAAATGGGCAGATGGGGAGTAGAGGCGGAGTAGAGGAGATGGGGATAATGCAACATTTGGAAAGGAAAGATAACCAGGGAGGGGCAGAACTGAACAGAGACTTGGAGGTGGCGGCCAGAGGCTTAATTCTGATGTCAGAGCTGATGGGAGCCAGGGGAGGGACGTGATCAGATGGATGGAGAAGGAAGGTGGCTCTATCGCTGGATTCTGGATGGGCCAGAGGGAAAGGGTGTGTCCGGGTGGCCAGTGGGAGGCAGGTGCAGCAGTCAGGACCTGGACTAGAGATCTGGTGTGGGAATGGAAAGAAAAGAAGGGATCTTGGAGACACTGTGGAGGAAGCAGTAGAGTTTGGAAATGGCCGGGATGGGCAGCAAAGGTGAGGGCGGAATCAGAAATAGCCCCCGCAGTTCAGGCCTGAGGAACAGGGGTTGGGGGCTATCGATCGTGGTGGAGAAGAGGGAAGGTTGGGAGGGAAGGGAAGGTGTTTGGGTTTGGCCGTGTTCAGGGTAAGATGATGCAGGACACCCGAAGGGAGATGTCTGAGAGCCAGGCCAAGAGGCGGGATTGGATGGTAGGAGACAGGCCAGGCATGGAGAGAGCTGTGTGAGCCATTAGCATGCAGATGAGAGCTGCGGCCTGTGAGGCTGTCCAAGGAGCGAATGGAGATGAGTAAAGGGCAGAGCCCTGGGAACCCCTGAGAGGGACGGGGGGCACCCCATCGAACGGGACACCGAGTCAGAGGGGTAGGAGAGGACAGTGCCTCAGCACCAACAAGAAGAAGATGTCCAGGAGATTTTCTGGTGTAATTGTCTCAAACTCTGACAAAGATTTGTGGGTCATGGTGGACAATCAGCTGAACGTGAGATACCCGTGCAATGCCGTGGCCAAAAGAGTTAATGAGATCCTGGGAGGCATAAACAGGGGAATCTTGAGTAGGAACAGAGAGGTTATTTTACCTCTGTATGTGGCACTGGTGAGACCGCTGCTGGAATCCTGTGTGCACTGCTGGTGCCCACAATTCAAGAAGAATGTTGATAAGCTGGAGAAAGTTCAGAGAAGAGCCATAAGAATGATCGAAGGATTGGAAAACACGCCTGATAGTGAGAGAGGCAAGGAGCTCAATCTATTTAGCTTGACGCTGAGAAGGTTAATGATTGACTTGTAAGTCTGTAAGTACCACATGGGGAACAGAAATTTGATAATGCGCTCTTTAAATGGGCAGACAGAGGTAGATTTTTCCCAGCAGGAGTAGTATCTGGACTTCACTTTTTGGTAGAAATTGCTCAAACTTTCAAAAACAAAACAATGTCCTTTGGCAGATTCTGAACCTCGGATTATTATTGTTATTTGTTTGACCATACAACCTAGGAGCCCAAGTAATGGGCCAGGACCTCACTGTGGTAGGCCCTGTACAAACACAAAACAAAAAGACAGAACAAGAATCTAAGTATACGATGAGACAATAGATGGCTGCAGACATACCTCCAGGGAAGCACGAGGAAACAGCGAGACAATATTGATCAGCACGACAGGCAGTGGGTCTCAGCACAGCAGCAGCCTACCTGTTGGCAAGCTTTTGTAGGCATCACTCACAGGAGAGTTTGAAGGCGGATAATGAGGTAGCTTTGACAATGTTGACAGGGAGCTGCTCCCATGTGCAAGGGACAGCATGAGAGAAAGCTCCAAGGTGCTTGTTTGAAAATTTAACAAGTGGGCAATGTAGGCTGCCATTGGCCAGTCAGGTAGGAACTGACACCTAGATGGTGCATGAGAGATGATAGGCAGGGTGAAGCCTTGATGATAGCCGTAAATGGCCTTGAAAGTGAATACAAGCAGCTTGTGTTTGATGCATTAGAGGAGTAGGAGACTGTGGAGGGATCTAAAGAGGAATGACATGGTTAAAGCAATGGACTAGGAAAATTATCCTTGCAGTAGTATTCTGGATTGTTATGAGTGGAGCAAGATTGCATTTGTGAAGGCCCGAGAAGAGACTGCTGCAGTAATTGAGATGCAAGATGCGGAGAGCTTGGCCGAGAGCTGTAGCTGTGTGGATGGACAGGAATGGCCGTATCTTAGAGATGTTTTACAGAAAGACTCAGCAAGATTTAGACCTAGCCGGGCT